GTTCAAAAGTAATGATATGGGGTCTATTTCTTACTATGGTCTTGGACCGATACATTGCATAGAAGGTATCATGGATCGGTTTGTATATGCAAAAATACTTGAAGAGATCGTGCTGCCTTATGATGAAGAAGAAATGCCGTTAAAATTTTTGTTCCAGAAGGATAATGATCCCAAACATACAAGCAAGTTAGCCATATTGTGGTTTAATGAGAACAAAATCGATGTGATGGAGTGGCCAGCACAATCCTCCAACTTCAATCCGATTTAAAACTTTTGAATTGATGTTGAACAAGCAGTTTCTGAAAATAATCCAAGAGGTTGTAATCAATTGTGGGACGTAGTACAGTCAGCATGGCAAAATATATCTGTCGAACGATGTCAGAATCTTATTAATTCCATGCAACGAAGATGCTAAGCGGTTACTACAAATAAAGATCATGCCACAAAATACAAATGTAGAGCTTCAAAATAAGGTTTTTTTTGTAATAAAATTTAATTATTTTTTGACCTTTTCATAAAAAATGATTTCTCTACTATTTTATTGCACAGTCTAAAAAAAAAAATACGAATGACCTTCAATCGATAATATTGAAATTAAAAACCATACAGTGCTGCAATTATCTTTCTTAAATTTTTTTTTATACAATTATAATCACAACATTTAGTTTATGAATAACAATAACGATAAAAAACAAACAATAGAAAAATATATTTTGATGTTCAAAGTTTGTTGATAGAAAAATAAAATACGCACTACTATTTTACTGCACACGACTGTAGCTGCTCTTAAAATATAATTTAAAGTTATCCACCCTTGCAATATGAAAGAAACCTTTTTTTAAAAAAAGATGTTATTGAATTTTGTAATATTGTAATTATAGAAGAAATTTACGGTGATATTCGATTTTTAGACTCTTCAAGAGAGTTTTCCAAACAATTCAACATAAATTTGCAGTAGGGGAGACCGGGGCTAGTTGGCCGCAGGGGTAAGTTGACGAATTGCGTTTATCTTTAAAGCCTTTCATCAGAAAGTGATAAAAATTACACAGAATCTTCCTAATTGACTGTTTCATCATTCAATGTAGTATTGTCAGGATTCGCGCATGCGCATGGGAGATATTAAGATTTAAGTGTTTTTTGGACAAAAACGTAACTTTTGAAACATCGCTTCCTTTTTACTTTACAAAGAAAATAGTTAGTCAAATGGAAAAAAAATTATTGTAAAAGTTCTAGCCACAATTGGTTTACTATATTCAGTTTGACTTTTTTTAAAAGTTGCCGTTTTTCAGGATCTATAGACTGTTTATTGAAAAAAAAGCCTTCGGGGTAAGTTGACAAAATTTTTACGGGGTAAGTTGGCTCATAGCATTTACTATGGAGAAAAATATTTATTTTTATAAAAATAATTTTTTTAATTTTTTTAATTTTTAACAATATTGAAAAAACTTATTCTTACAAAAAAATTATAAAAATTTTTTTTTTAGGTTTTTTGTAACAGGTAAAAAGAGGGCTGCTGTTTTGGCTGTTATACGTACTAATATTTAGTACAAGCTAAAAATAATATCAAATTATTAGCTTAAATTGTTGCCAAAATTAATAGGTAAAAAATTTCTATTAATTTTGCACTTAATAGTACATTAATAATCACGTTTATAGTTTGCGTCAACTTACCCCGTGGTGGGGTAAGTTGGCGCAATTTTTTTTTTTTTTTTGAGGGCCCCGTAAGGCCCCAAGAATTTTTTTTTGTAAATCCATGAAACTTTTATAAGTTACCCAAGTTCATACGCTTTGAGACTACACTTTAATATTTTCAAAAAAGTGTGCTATTAGGGCTACAGAGCTCATAGAGTAAAAACCGAGCCAACTAGCCCCGGTCTCCCCTACTCACTTGATTTTGGAGCTATTGTTTGGGTTCATGGAGATATGTAAATATTTGCTAAAAAACAATTTTTATTATGTTATTTTTTGAGAATTTTCAAAAGATTATATGAAAAAGAATTCAGTAAATGTAGTCATGGATCAGGCGAAACATGAATTCATAACAGTTTAAAATGTTGTTGAAAACATTGAGAAAGCTAAACTGTTATTGTATTTAAAAAAGTAAAGAATTTTGTAACATCATTAATCCATTACATGAACAAGAACCATCTTTGTCGCCGAGTAAAAAATGACTCTGTTTTATAATGCAGGTTATGCTACAAGAAAAGATGATGTTAGTGAAAATGATTTGTCTAATAATATTGCATTTTATTTTCAGTAACTTGAAAACAAAACAAAAACTATGGACAGCGGTGGATTGAGTATACCAATCGGTTGCTGTGCGCAGTAGGTATTTTTGCATTTCGTTATTTTTGAAATTGAAAAAAGTAAATTGTGCAGAAAGTCATTGTGTAATACTTTTATGATGATATCTGTTATTTATAACTTTAACATGTGAAAGAAACATGGTGGTTTATTATCAAACATATTTCTTAAAAAAGGTTGTTTGGTTTTTTCACCAAATTTCAATAAAGAACCTACACTGAAGGTTTTAAAGTTATCTGTATAATGTTAAAGTATTATGAACATTTTTTATAACATTGTTGTATATTTTGATGGTTTTTTCTTTTTTTCCTTTGCATTATTTGAAAGCTTGTTCATTCTTTAATGATTTATATTAAGTAATAAACTTACTTATTATTTTGAAAAATAAATGTTTTTTGTTGAAAAATCTCCTTTGACCATCTGAAATGTTACAACTAGGTTACAAGTATGTTTTAAACTGATAAAGCCAAGAAAAAAAATATGAAAATTTTAAAATAGAAAATAAAAGGAAATCTTGTCTATAGTTATGCGTTTAGGAAATAACGGGGACAAAATAGCAAAAAAGGGTAAGATGGTTTTTTATAGAACAACTCAACAAAAAAATGAGTGCAAATAAAACTGAATTGATTTTTTTAAAATACTGATAATGTTATTTTATATGCATTAGTTTTTTATTTATTTCTTATTTGTCTAAAAAAAAAACTCGGTTTTGGTTATCCTTTAATAATAACCATCTAAATGGGTGGTAATGATGCTTCGGGTGTAGCTTTTCCAGAGATATATTTTGCAACCCGTGTTTGTTTTGTGTCACTTTAGAGTAGTTGGTAGTTTTAAAATTTTTTAAAATTGGAGACAGAAAACGCATAATAAAGCATGTTGCCCGGGTCACGGGACCAGATAACAAACTTATAAATTTTACATTTTAATAATTATTACAAGTTTTTCTACTCGCAAACTTAAAACTTATCCAGGCAATGAATAAATATGTTTTTAAAAAAACATACTAAGAGAGTATTATTGCTGATAGTTTTGCAATAACTTAAGGTGTTTAAATTATTTGCTATCTTACAACGTCTTTTTCTATGTCTCAACGAATTCTTTAGCTTTGTTACACTCACTTTGTATTATTTAAAAAAAAGCTAGACAATCCCTTAAAAATGAAAGATTTAAAGTCCTCGGCCTCCACCTCCACCGCCTCCACCAGCTCCAGATTACAGTCTCTAAAATGTTAAAATTGAATTTTTACCTTGTTTTAAATTTTTACCTTCTTGTTTTAATTTTTTACCTCTGTTTTAAATTTTTATCTCCTTGTTTTAAATTTTTACCTCCTTGTTTTAAATTTTGATCAGTATTTCTTGATTATACAGGTACAAGAGTTACGCCAATATTAAGCTGAAGCTAAAACGCAAAGTTCTATATTTTTCACAATTTTTTTTTTTTTTTTTGTAAGGTAAAACAATAACATACAAATCTTTACCATTAGCTACTTCTATTAAGCAAGTGTCTGGTTCCTGTAAATTCGTAGGAATTTTAAATAACTTTGGATATTGTTGTTTTTTGATGACTTTGAGAAAACCTGAAAGTGCATTTAACCATAAATATTTGATGACTTTGAGAAAACCTGAAAGTGCATTTAACCATAAATATTTGATTGTATTAAAAAACATCTTTACTAAAATTGTGTAAACGAATGGTGCAGAATGTATATTTTAAAATATTATATTAAGTTGTAGGAAGGACTTAGATAATTAATTCAATAAAAAACCTTACGTAAAGAATTTTTAGAGTTAGCACACCACAGAAAATACTGTAAAAGATATGCGTGATTTTTATGATACCTTTTGGAAATCAAAATTAGGAAAATAAAAAAGTGAAAATTTTATTGACAAAAATATTCTTTGTAAAAAATGTTACATACGCTTTTCAATATGCAGCTACTTAAAATAAATTAGTATTATCACATACTATAAATAAATAAGTATCACCATGGTGACTCCAATCAAGATCATTCAAAATAAAAAAATCATGAACATTTTTCTTATTTCTTTACCTTTCTTTTGTATAACTTCAACACTTTTGTATTTATATTCTATTAAATTATGTTCTTTGCAATTGATGAAGCAAATAAACAAATATGAAAAGTTAAACATAAATTTCAGTTTATAAATGAAAGTATTATTAGCTTATTATAAAAGTTATTCGTTCATCCACATCTCTTGTATGAAGCAGTTATATGGATCCCTAATCGGAAAATTAATTAGAAAAGAAAAGGGAAAAGTAACAGACTTAAAAAAGTTCAAAATCGACCAAAATATGGTTACAGCAATAAAGAATGAAACTTAAAACTAAAATTACCATTTTTAGAAAAAGCAGAAGGCATGATGATTTGATCTAAATGTTCAAATTAGTAAAAAAAATAATAATAAACGAAATAATTTTGCAAAACCCAAACAATCATTTTAACAATAATGGTTTTGCAAAAGGTCATAACTTAAAATTCTTAAAGTGTTACTAAATAAAAAAGCATACGCAAGCTGAACACAATCAGGCACATTTTTTTACTCTAACATATATGTAAATGACTAGAATCTCTTAACATAAAAAGCCATTTTAACATAATAAGCCACAATCAATCAATAATTCCAAATCAATTTAAGGCTCACATCGATTAACATTTTAAATTTTAAACTACAAAC